TGCAATTTTAACATTTTGTTCTCTAAACTATCACCCCTAATGGTCATACAAGTTAAAGAGAAAGGGAAAGCATTAAAAACATGAGTTTGTTAATTTAATAACGATTGAAAGAGAAAAATTAAGCTTGGTTTACTAAATTCTTTATCTAGTTTTACTTTACAGATTCATTAACTACAAGTGGTACAATTACTTACAATACAATTAATTATAAGATGCTAAGGGTGATCAATTCTCAAAATACAAACATAAACTCACTAAGATAAAAACCAATGAATAAGAGAAACCACAATTGTCACTAAACGTGAAAATCACATAAAGTGAGCAAGGAATCCACCATACCTCTAACTATAGATTTAGCTACTCATAATGAAATAAAAAGCATAAACAACAGTTTATAGGAAAATGTACCTGTCGAATAATAATAAAAGAGTTTATAAGGTTAAGTTCCCATAATATTATCCAATAAAGATTATTTTCAATTATTACTAAGAATTTCATGATTTAATTGTTTGAACCTAACTAGTACATTGTTGCAACTGAGTAGTCGCAACGATACGATGAAAATGTATTAAGAAAAACACATTTTAAGAATATAAAAAAATATTTTCTAAAAAATTAGAGTCACGACCAAAATTTATTAAAAAAAAAACTTTAAAAAAACTTTGAAAAATAATCTTTGAAACCAAAAATGAGTTCGGGAGTCATTTACGTGTCGGGAATGTATTAGCACCTTACAACGTTAATTTAAAAACAGTTACCTTAAATTAATTGTGCAAATTCATTTTAATTTTAAAAAATATTTATTTAAACCCTAAACAATAATTATTTTTATTTTAGAAGAAAAATTATTTATCAAAATGTTAACTCGTATCTTAAAAGAGAAAAAATTATTTTAAAAATTATTTTGACTTGACAGGTCCGATTCCCGTTTCTACGTATCCCTGGGTGCAATGGAGAACTCAAAGCCGCGTAGTTCTATCATAAAAATCATGAAATTGGTGGATTAAAATTAAGTTTAGTAAAAGAAAGTTATTTTTTGTGATTAAAATTATTTTCATAATATTATAAGATAACACGATTATACATATATCCTACAAGAAATAATACGAAAGGTGAAGAAAGATCACACAACTATATTGCAAATCATTAAAATAATAATAGTTTATTTATAAATAAAATATTTGTATTTATATTTAACTTATGATTAATGTTAAGAGAGAATTTAAGATAGCATAAGCTATACATAAATCTTTTATAATATTGAACAATCAAAGGTGATGTACATCATACATCGATATTGCAAAAAATTTGTATAATAAAATGAAGGAATAATTGGTTATTTAATTTATCAAAATTTGAAATATGACTTTAAAAAAATAGAATTGATTATATTTAATAAAATAAATAAATATATTTAAATTGATTAAAGAAAATAGTTACCTAATAAAAAGATTATAACTTCATTTGATAAATTTATATTGCATAGGACCCAAGATAATATTGGTACACAAAAGTCTTAACGATTTAAAGTGTATAAAGGTAGAGATGCTACACAATAACACTATAAATCACTACGTTAATGTGATGAAAATATTCTAGATGATGATGATGATGATGATGATGATGATGATAATAATAATAATAATAATAATAATAATAATAATAATAATAATAATAATAATAATAATTGATTAATTTTAGAAATTATATAAACTATTAATATATTAATGGTATATAAAACATAAGATAACGTAGGTACACATAAGCTTTATCAATTTATAACACATGACGGTAGAGAGGTTATATGTTAATATCATAAATTGACTCAAATATTGTATTATTTATCTATTTAATATTAAATTAAAAATGTAATTCGTTTATCATCAAATGTTTGAAATTATATAATACAATAAATGATGATAATAATAATAATAATAATAATAATAATAATAATAATAATAATAATAATAATAATAATAAGCAACATGAATACACGATTGAGATTCAAATATTAAAATAATGAAATAATAATAAAAAAGACACAAATATTATAATTAAATCAATTAGGTTTACATTTATAGTTTTATTTTGATTAATAAACATTTTTCGTATGCTTTAATTTTTAGAGTTTTTATCATTTTTAGTTATTTGAATAAATTGGGCTTGTTACAAATAAATGCGTTAATTTCGTATTTTTAGTTATTCTTACCTCTGACTACTCTTTTGGTCATAACTCTTTCTACAGATATTATTTTTGGCTAATTCCAGTTGCATTGGATTCTACACATCTAGGACTTCAAAATGCATATATCAATCGCTGGATTTGGAGTTGTTTTTGATTTTTTATGATTTTTTGAATTAGAGGCAAATTTATTGAATATTGTTGCAGGATTGCATTTGTACCCTTGTTATTTAATAATTGTATTTGGGTTTTTAGATATTATCGGGACCTGCATTTTGACCACTTAATTTACCCTAATCAGAACTTATAACTAGACTAATGAGATTTTGAATTAAGGGAGAAGTGATTAGTCACTTTGAGATTTTGATACTTAGTCGAAATAAGAATCTTTGTTTTTACTTTCTCTCGAACCCTCTTGTTCTTTTCTCATTCTTGCTAGGGTAAGTATTTCGATTGAAGGCTAAACCTCTCGTTTAATTTGTGGAATCCAAACACTATAATTTCAACTTGAGTTCTGCGCTAAATTGCTTCGAGTTTGTTCTTTTGTCTCTGTAATATCAGAATTGTGTATTGCGATCGTCATTAACTTTTCTGTTATTAGAATTCAAATTAGAAGTAGATTGATGCTCTAATTTGATAATTAATGCAAATTAGGTTAAATAATTATTTGATTTAATTTGTAACTCTATTCAATTATGATATTCGATTGAATTAATAATTGAATTGAGTGATTGTTCAAACGCGGAATTAAATCTTTAGATACTGTGATAGTCAAAGTTACAAGCAATTAGTATTATGTGGAATTCATTTTCACTCACTTTAATTCTGTCCGTAATTTAATTTAATTAATTTGTAATTTTTAAAACTCCAAAAAACCTTATTTGCATTCTTTAAAACAAAACCTAAAATTGAATTTGACTGAAAATGTGTCTTCATGAATAGATCTAGGTTTGGCTCTATACTATAAAACATTTAGAAAACTTAGCTGTTTTGATAGCAACTAAGCATTGTCCAGCAAATTGGCGTCGTTGCCGTGGATGTAATGTCGGTTTTGATTCTTTTTAGGGTTCAGTAATGCGTTTTCACTTTCTAATTCATAATTTTTTTTGTCTTTGTTTCGTTTCTGTCTTTGTTGTCGCGATTCAATATTCTTATTTGTTCATTTTATAGGGTGTGTTTAATTTCAGTTTTCGTCAGTTTGTTTTTTTTCGTTAAATTTTGTTGTTTTAGTGCATTTTGAATTTTAGATTATTTTTTTGAATTTTGAATTTTAGATTCAGATTTTATATTTTTAAAGATTGAATTAATAGCGTATTGTTGCAAAAATTGAGTGATTTGCAGAGATTTTGTATTGATTTTGCAGAGATGAGCAGCAAAGAATAAGGATCTCTCAAATTTAGTTTAGATTAGATTTAAAAAAATTTAATTTTAATTTTAAATTATTTTTAAATTTGAATTTTAAATTATAGTTAAGATTTGATTAGATTAGATTTATTTTGTTTTGGGTTTAAAGATAGGTTTAGTTTTCTTTTTAGATAAATTAGCTTTGAATTTAATTTTTTTTTAAAAAAAAACACTTTATCTAACCAATTTGCTAATTTAAATTTTGAATTTTTTATTTATTTAAATTTTTTAATTTTAAAAATATTTTTTAAAAAGATTAATTAAAATAATTTTAATTTCTATTTTTTTATCGCATTTTCTATTGTAAGTTATTTAGTTGTTTTTTATTTTTTATTTTTTTTCCCTTGCACATTTTTATTATTTGATTTGTATAAGGTTTGTTTGTTCCCTCACATGCTACTAATCATGCATAACATAAGTGAGGCCCTATACTCGGGTCTGAGTAAACTTTAGGCTCTATACTCTATCACGAAAACTTCAGTTAGAGCTTATCTTATCTATATAATCCCTACATCTAGTAGACTACCTACTGATTAAGGGGGACTTTATGGAATGGATTTTATCTCTAATGACCTTTTATCTTTAAGCTTACAAACTACCCAAGTAAGAATGTATAACGTAAATCATTAGGTTAAAATTTTAGGAACTGTAATAGAATACTATGAAAGCATATTCTTTTATTATCTAGCTACATTTTTTTATTTATTTATTATTATTTTGTGTGTTGCGAAAATTATTGATATTATATTATTCATTTTACAGGTGGTGTTGCTTAAAATCACAAATTCCATCATTTATAACACTTTTCTAAATTTATTTTTATTTTTATTTTATTTTTGATATTTTTTATTTTATTTAAATTTTTATTTTATTTTTGAATTAGGACAAAAAAATCACAAAAAAAATAATAATCTTAAAAATAGAAAATAGAGCATTTAGGTTGACTTTGACTTTAACTTTGACTTTGTTGATCCTTTTGACTTCGACCGATCTGCTTCTTGGTACATAACCAGAACCAATTCTGGTCAATTACTCACATTTGATCCCAAGATTGAACGCACTTGAAACAGGTTGAATAGACTTAAATTGGAAGATAGTATGCATAGTCATTGTATTGATACCCTTGATATCCTTGATAGTGTTAGTGTGCACTCTAATTGTAAGCATTCTAATTGTGATCATTCTGATAGCATTTGTGCATTCTGATATTATGGCTAATAATCAACAAGAAAGAACTCTTAAAGAATTGGCTGCACCAGATGCCACATACTAACCCTTAGGCATCTAATATCCTGATGTAGATGCTCCATTTGAGTTAAAATCTAGTCTAATCCATTTGTTGCCTAAGTTTAATGGTACTACAGGTGAGGACCCTCATAAGCATCTAAAGGAGTTTTACATAGTCTGCTCAACAATGAGGCCTCAAGATGTTCCAGAAGACCACATCAAGCTAAAGACTTTTTCATTCTCCTTGGATGGTGCAGTGAAAGATTGGCTATATTACCTTCAGTCAAGGTCTGTCACTTGCTGGATAAACATGAAGTGGATATTCCTGGAAAAGTTCTTCCCTACTTCCAGAGCAACCATAATCAGAAAAGAGATTAGTGGCATCAGACAGTTTAGCCAAGAAAGCCTCTATGAGTACAGGGAGAGATTCAAGAAGCTATGCATAACATGTCCACATCATCAGATCAGTGACCAGCTGCTTATTCAGTACTTCTATGAAGGCCTTGCTTCCATGGAGAGGAGTATGCTTGATGAAATAAGCGGTGGAGCTCTCATGGACAAGACACCATCTGCAACTAGAGCACTAATTGACAACATGGCAAAGAACTCCCAGCAGTTTAATACAAGAACCATGGCACCAATGAGAGAGGTGCATAATGTGCATCAGCCGAACCATATGGCAGCAAATTCTAATAAACTTGAGACCAGAATTGAGGAGCTCACTACTTTTGTGAGACAATTAGTTGTTGCACAACAAACTGTTACACAAAGAAGGGTGACTAGAGATTGTCCTATTTGTTCCTCCACAGAGCACACCTCAGATTGTTGTCTTTTGTTGCGTGATAGTAGCCAACAAGCTTCTGTCCATGAAATTTTTAGAGGAAGACAAGACCAATACAGAGCTTCAAATTTCCAACAACAACAGTATAAGTTCCAGTACCAATCTCATAATCTTACCTTCAATAATCATTCAAATATGAGATATGGTACCTTTAAGCAGCAACAGCAATAGACTAGCCAAGCAAGTAATGGCTATAGACCACCCCAAATGAGGCAGCAACAAACACAGCAAAGTTCTGAGCCTTCGTTGGAGGATTTGGTCAAACAAATGGCCAAGAGCAATCTGCAATTCTAACAGAATGTCAATACCTCCATTCAATACCTACAGACACAGATTGGCCAACTTGCTACCACTATAAACTAGTTCAAGTCTCAAGGTTCTGGATAACTCCCTTCTCAACCAGAGGTTAATCCCAAAAACATGAGTGCCATAATATTGAGGAGTGGGAAGGAGCTGTCAGGAAACCAGAAAGATGAAGAGGTACAAGATGATGCGAAGGTAAAGAAGCAGCAAAACACAGAGCAACAAACTGCCCCTAGCAGTTCAGAAATTATGCAGAAACTACCCCTTCCCTTTCCGAACAGAGTGGCCAAGCCAAGGCCACCAACATACTTTGATAGGAAGCTTTTTGAGACATTCAGAATAGTAGAAGTAAACATTCCATTGCTGGATGTGATAAAAACAAATTCCAAAATATGTAAAGTTTCTTAAAGAGTTGTGCACTAACAAAAGGAAACTGAAAGGGGATGAAAGAGTCAGTATGGGGAGGAACATTTCACGACCCCTTTTTGTAAAGAACCGAGAACATTATTTTTACACCCCTTTTTGTAATGAAGAATATAAGTATAAAATTCACTTTTCAATTCAAAATAAATAGAATTCAACATAACAACATAATATTACATTTAGTTTATAATACTAAAAAATACAAAAAGTTTTTACTACATCACTCCCTCTATATGAGGTCTCAAAATATAAGGAAAAGGAATTTAATATAAGGAATGGTGATTTACACTAGATCTACTGAATATTACTTGTTTTAACGTAAGATTCACTGAAGTTTTGGCTTTAGAACGAAGTCTCTCCTAAAAGCACCATAAACTTCTATGAGAAAGAGAAGGAGAAGAGAAACGAACAATGAAACTAACTTCAAACTTAGAAAAACTTACTTCAAATCCCTTAGAATAGACACAGAATCACAGATCTCGAGAGAAATCTAAGTTTAGGAAAGTTTAGTATTAGAGAAAATGGTGGATATATGGCCTTGGAACCTTTCAGAAGTGTGAAGAAGTGAAAATTTTGTGCAAGGACCCCTATTTATAGGGAAAAAAAAGTTTGGTACTGTTCATGTTGGAGTTACTGTTCACGCCAAAATCACTGCTCACACCGACACTGTTCACGCATTTTGCATTGTTCATGTGTATTGTTCACTTTTTTTTTAAATAATTTTAATCTCCATCTAAATCCATTTCAATACCAAATAATTCTTCAATTAACATTTAACAAGTACAAAATATTATAGATTACTCAATAATAAATTACAGGCCTGACAATTCTCCCCCCAAAAAATAAATTTTCATCCTTGAAAATTTCATCCCTCAGAAAAAAGATGAAGATATAACTCTCTCATTCTTTCCTCTAACTCCCATGTGGCATCCCAGTGACTGGGTCCCAAACAACCTTTACTAATCGAATAGACTTGCCTCTAAGCTCTTTAACTCTAGTTCCTCGATACAAGCAGCTCGAACCTCTGCAGACAAATCTTCTCATATCTCCACAACATCAAGCTTGATTACATGAGACGGATCAAGAACATACTTCCTCAGTTGCGACACATGGAAAACATTATGCAGTCTTGACAACTGAGGTGTTAGCGCTAATTCATAGGTCTGGTCCTCTACGATGTAATATCTGATAGGGTCCTATGAACTTAGGCGTTAACTTATTGGCCCTTAAGGCTCACCCCACACCTGTAGTGCGTGACACTCTCAAGAATACATGATCACCAACCTCTAATTCTAATGGTCTTCTGCGTTGGTTAGCATAAGACTTCTGTTTACTCTGAGTAGCTCTCAGCTTTTCTCTGATAAGTTTAACTTTCTCCTAAGTTTCCTACAGCATTTCAGGCCAAACCATCAAATGTACTCCATCTTGGAACCAACAGATAGGGGTTCTACACCTTCTGCCATATAGAGCCTCATATGGTGCCATGTCTATACTCGAATGGTAGCTATTATTATAAGTGATTCTACCAAAGGAAGTATATCCTCCCAATTACCCTTTTACTCTACAATACAAGTCTGTAACAAGTCTTCTAAGGTCTAAATAGTACGCTCAGATTGACTATATGTCTGCGGATGATATGCAGAACTCAATCTCAACTGCGTGCCCATAGCTTCCTGAAAACTCTGCCAAAACTGAGAAGTAAATTGAGGATCTCTATCATAGATAAAACTAGAAGGTACTCCATGCAACCTGACAATCTCTCTGATGTATAATTCTGCTAATTTCTCCAAGCTATAGGTCATGTTGATCGACAAGAAATGCGCACTCTTGGTCAGCCTATCAACTATGACCCATATAGCATCATGATTCTTAATTGTTCTAGGTAGATGGGACACAAAATCTATAGTAACATGCTCCCACTTCCACTCCATAATTTCCATCGTTTGCAACTCTCTTGGATGACTTCGGTGCTCTGCCTTTGCCTTCTGGCAAGTCAAACAAGCTTTAACACACTGAGCTATTTCTCGCTTCATGCCTGGCCACCAAAACATCTACTTCAAATCTTGATACATTTTGGTAACACCAGGATGAATGTTGAGACTAGCCTTATGTCCTTCTTCTAGAATTGCTCTCTTTAATTCACCATCTCCAAGGACACAAACTCAACCATGGCATCTGAGAATACCATCAACACCTCTACTAAAACCCTTTGTCTTATTTGTCCCCAAGAGAAATACAATCTGACATAACATAGGATCCCACAACTGTTTGTCTTTAATTTCTTGCAAGAAATTGTTAATTACCACAATTCTACCACAACTAATCTTTCCAGGTGATAAATCAATATGTAAGTTCAGGTCTCGGAATTGCTCTACCAAAAGAGTTTCACTAACTCTTAAGGAGAATGCCTGAACCACATTCTTTCTTAATGCATCAATCACCACATTAGCTTTTCTTGGATGGTATTGAAGCTGAAAATCATAATCCTTAAGGATTTTCATCCAACGTCTCTGCCTCATATTTAACTCTCGTTGGTCAAACAAATACTTCAGACTCTTGTGGTCACTAACTATACACATCAAACTAAGCTTCATAAAGATAGTGTCGCCACACCTTTAGAGCAAAGACTATAGCAGCTAACTCGAGGTCATGGGTCAGGTAATTTTGTTCATTAGTTTGCAACTGACAAGATGCATAAGCTACCACCCTCTTATCTTGCATTAACACACCCTTAATCCCTAATGTGAAGCATCACAATACACTTTAAATGGTCAACTAGTATTAGGGAGAATCAACACCTGTGAGAAAGTTAGTCGTTGCTTCAATTCATTAAAACTTTGCTCACATTCCTCAGTCCATACAAAGGGTTGATCACGACGAGTTAACCGTGTTAATAGTGCAACTATCTTCCCAAATCCCTCTATAAATCTCCGGTAGTAACCTGCTAGGCCCACAACACTATGAATCTTTGTGGCTATCTTAGGTGTTTCCCACTACAACACTACTTTAACTTTGGAAGGATCAACTGCAATTCCCTTAACTGAAATAACATGGCCAAGGAATTTTACTTCCTCTAGCCAAAACTCACACTTAAACAATTTAGCATACAACCGTTTCTCCCTCAAAACACTAAGTACAATCCTCAAATGCTTTGCATGTTCCTCTAACGAAATAGAATAAATCAAGATATCATCAATAAAGACTACCAAAAGCTAATCCAGGAAAGGTCTAAAGATCCGATTTATGTAGTCTATAAACACTGCTAGAGCATTAGTGACTCCAAAAGGCATCAATATATACTCGTAATGACTATATCTAGTGCGGAATGTTGTCTTTGAGATCTCTTCATCGTTTACCCCATCTTTTACTCGAATCTAATGGTACCTAGATTTCAAATCAATCTTAGAGAATACTTTAGCACCTCTTAACTGGCCCATCAAATCATCAATACGTGGCAACGGGTACTTATTCTTGATTGTCTACTTACGACAATCAACACATAATCTAGAACTTCCATTCTTCTTTTTCACCTAGAGAACTGGTGCTCCCCAAGGCGATATACACTTGGCCTAATCTACTGTTTCTTCGTTAGATCCTCAATCTGCTTTTTAGGCTCTATTAACTCTTTTGGCGCCATTCTGTAAGGTGCTACAGACACAGGCTTAGCTCCAAGAATCAAATCTATAGCAAACTCCACCTCTCTACGTGGAGGTATTCCAGGAATATCCTCTCGAAAGATCTCAGGGAATTCTCGTACTAGTGGTATTGACTGTGAAGACTTTGCTTAATTTTTCTATTCATAACACCCAACAAAACAAAACAAGATACTCCCTCACCTAAGGATGTTTCTACTTGGCGAGTAGAGGTCAACTCAACACAACCTTGCTGCTCAGGAAAGATTAAACACCTCTAGCCACAATCAATTAGCACACGATTGGCAGTTAGCCAATCCATACCCAGGATTACATCTAACCCTGACATTGGGATACAAATAAGATTTACTTTGTACCTTTGTCCCTTAATTACTATGGGACACCTAACACAAACTGTCAAAGTCTTGATCGAACTCAGAGTAGGTATCGATACAACTAATTTATATCCTAGATCGCTCACCGACAAATATCTCTAATCCACTGCTCAGCCGCATTCGGCCCATCAACTCTAGTAAACTAAAGAGAATCATTCTTCCTGAACTCAAACAATCCCTGATATTTAAGAGAAGGTATAGTTGAGCCAGTGGTTGCTGCTGCCTGTGTTGCAGCAACGACTTGATTTGCAGCCAATTGCTACTGCATCATTTCTAGACTTTGCCTCACTATGGCTACCATAGCCTCCATGGTGTGAGTCATTTGGTTCATGTCAGCAAGAGAATGAGGGTTTGCAGCAGATCTTCTCGGCATCTTAGTATATAGACTAGCTTAGATTACTAACATTCAACACATTCA